TTTATAAAAATTGTATTAAAAATAATTGGTTTTAAATTCTCAAACTCAACTTTATTACTTAAAAAAAATTGAAAAAATGCTTTCATTCTTTATTTAATCGACTAATGACTTCCTAACTTTAATTAAAAATTGCTGTTCGCAAATTGAAAACATATAAAACTTTCATTCTTGCTTCCATCAAAATAATAAATTTTATGAGTTAAAAACATGAAATACAAAGCAAGTTAATCAGTCGAGCAGTGATGTAGCTCAAATGGAACAAGTCGATTAATCGATTGGAAATATGATACCTAGCCGGTGTGACTCCATTCGATTTAAATCGAATCCAGCACCATGCCAGAGGTATGTCAGCTTGATGCTTTCCTATTCGATTAACCGACTTGAGCTATTTATGTAGCCAGATAAGAGTTTGATTTAAAGATTTGAAGTGTGCGGGACATAGCCACTAAGTCAAAAACATTTAAGAGACTAAGTAGAGATGAAAGGAATATTTTAGGAAGGATTTATATTTTGATCGTTGAAACCTTAACATCTTTAAAAAATAAAGCGCTAAGGTCAATAAAAAGTGGTTAAATATTCTTAGAGCTGATTCCTCATTATGCCTCCCATTTAAATGGTCTGCGATTTTGTTACAGTTCAAAACAGGTCAAAATACAATTCAATGAGATGCAAAAAGTCTAGAAGAAATATTTCGGGCTATTTAATAAGCACCCTGATAAGCCTTAAGCACCTAAAGACCCACAACAAGCCATTCTTCTCCATTTCAATCACTCAGCACCTAAAGCTGTGTAAAAATATGAAAAAGATATACACTGAAAAAAATTTCATAGCTTCACGCTGGTTACAAAGAAAGAAAATGTTCATCTCGAAAAAAATAGAAAATGAAAAGTCCGAACTCTCTTAATGCAGCGTCAGACGTAATAAATTGTTTTTTTTTGTTTACATTTATTTTTCTTTATAAAAAATAGTTCATGCTATTGCTTTTGTTTTTAATGTACAACAGAAGTGAAGAAAGCATGCTTGATAATGAAAATAATGCCAATGGTAATTTTATACTTTATTTTCTCACTTTATTAAAGGTGCAATAATAATTGGCGCAATGGCCAAAAAGAAATGGAAAGTGATTTTAATTTTTACAGTCCGTGCTTAGCAGCAAAAAATGTTTAATAATTGAAAGGAATTGAAGGGAGGGTCTTGGAAAGTTGAAGGTTGAAGCTATTTATTAAATATTCAATTTAAGTTTAATTATTTTGATTCCACAAGAATGGATGAATACATTTATGGCACCGCTGAATGTTTGCATTTCAGTTCCAACTAATTAATTAGACATTTTTCCACGTAATTTGTCTGCAACTCATCGAGTTCTCATCAAATAAAATATTATTTTAATAAGATATTTTCTTTGTAGACTCACCGACTGACTCATTTAATTGATGATAATTCTCTGCTACATTTTCGCTTCATTTAAGGAAAAATATTTACTTTATTCTGATCTCATTGAAAAGAAATATTCATTGAAGAATTTATTCAAGGTTAGCTTTGTTTAGTTTTTCGGGTACTTCCACTTGATTTTTTTTTGATTTACTTTCTTCAGTTCATTTACTATTGATTGTCGATTTGTTATGATTTTTCTTTTATTTTTCGATTTTAAATATGTGTAGATCTCCCTATTATTGTTGTATGTGTATACAAATGTAAAACAAGTCGGGTTTGATGGAAATAGAATCCGCTACCTCAAAAGAGATCACTCGATCAGAGATCCCTGCCACTCGATCACCGAGGTACTTATCTCACTTCGGCTATCCGTCATACACATATAACCAGTTTCACTGCAATCCCTATGCTCAGGCCTATCTACTACAGATATGCTCCTCGAGCCAAATCTACTAGATGATTTGTGATTCTCAAATTATTGAGATTGTCAATGAACGACATCAGTAAATGACACTTTGTCTACGTCCCTGAACTTGATAAAAACTGAACCCACCTTTAAAAAAATTGATTAGATATTTTGTATATTTAAAAGAAATTCATTGAAAATAATACTTTAAAGCACTTCATTATTACAATATTTTTAAGGTCTATCCGATTTGAAACTGATATGTTTATTGTCTTGCAAAATAATAATCATCTTTAAGCTATAAAAGCACAGCACCTACACACTGGAAAACAAAAATTTCCTCCTACAGACAGAACATCTTTATCTATCTAATTGAGCTGAAATTTATCACAAAGCGTCTAGTGTTTTATTGACAGTCATTACTGTTTTTTTTTTCATATTTTAAAGCTACTCGTTTTATGTTTTATAGAACCTTTTCTGGAAATTTCTTGTGAAACTCAAAAGTGTCGACCTTTAGTCTTTGATGTTCATTCCACTTGCAAACCCAAATTTCTTAGATCAAATGAATTTTTGATGCCACGTGGATTTTGCGAGACGTTTTGATTAAGGACCTTAAACGTTTTTCAGACGTCTACAGCTTAGAGAAGCGCTTGAAGACAATAAGAATTACAAGTAGATTGTTCTCGAATTTTTAAGCATCAACGTTAAAGTAATTGAAAGACATGATAATATTTAGATAAGCTAAAGTCATCAGATATGTATTGCATACTCATACTCACGTTAAATATTTTAACAGCAATTAATTTATAAATTTATTATGTAAATCCACTGAGCCTTCATAATTCCTTATGACTTATCCCTTTCCATATAAAAAAAACTTTCATTCACCTTCAGATTATATGAAAAAAAAGCTACAAGTAATTTATGGCATTCATGACCTTGAAACTTAACGACTTTATCATTCACTTGCTCTCTTTCTCTGATGAATTATGTAATGTGTTTACACAGCATCATTACAGTACATCCAGTGAATTTCTCGAAATTGTTACACTTCCAAAAATGTCTTCTGTCGAACGCCACTTACATTGTAATTAAGGTTAAACAATTCAGTTTGTCAAAATGTTTCAATTAATTGGGAACTCATTAATTAATTTTAAATGGGATGTTATGTAAATTTGTGGAATGTTTTGCTTCATTTTGATCCTTTTGAAAAAGTTATTTTACATTGAAATTTTCTGAATATTTTAAAATGGAATCTACGCGGCTTTGTGTGTTAATGGGAAATGGGAATCAAAGGATTTTAAGAACTTCCTTTGAAATTAAAAACTCTGCAGCAATAGCTCAAAGGAATTCCTAAAAGAGAAGTTTTAAATTACAGAAATTTAAATTACATTTAACAAACCACTTCTCTCAGATTATCCTTTGGAGATTAAAAGTAACAGTTTCCAAAAGCAGGAAGTTTAGGTTTAATTTGAAAAGATGAAGTCAAAATTTAATTTAATTTCAATTTAAATTCAAACCAAAATATTTTCATCAATTTAAAATTCTATCAACATTACTTTTCATAACCCCGCATCCACCTCCAGTAAATACTTCCAATAATTTTTTTTTCTTATTATAATTTCAATGTAAACAGTCTGATTACTCACTCAAATATGTTTAAAAATACTTTTTTTCCAACATGATTCAATCATTAAAAATAAATTTTTGTTTCTCAAAGAGAAAAATTATGAAAATTCAAATCTTTTTTGCAAAAGACACCAAAAGTTTTGCTGTTTTAAAATTTCAAGGTTTTCAGCGTTTCCTTTTCAGAATTCTTTATGTTTTAACTAGAAACATTTATGTTGGAAATATGAGATCAGCTGTAAAGTATTTCTAAGGATTCGAGCGAGATGAAATATTAAAGATGTAAGACATGTTTGTAAAGATTACATCAAATATTGAAGATCAAGGAAGTACGTGACATCAGTAATGATACAAGGCTATAAAAAAGAAAACTCAAGTTCAAATGACAGTTCAATTCCAAGGACAAATACAATCTTCTTTTGTACTCATCCAACGTGATATTCTGCATCAATAAATCTCCATTTTTGCAATGTAACACCTGAGTAACTTCCAACATGAGAAATGTGTACATTGACTTTTGACGTAATAGAATTAATTTCCATATTGAGTGACATGTCTATGTGATAATTCGATTCCAATAGAAAAAGCCATCATCAACACTAATAGCATTATCATCGATTGGGTTTTATGTGATGCCTCATGAAAAGTATCTCCCAAACGTTTATGGCATTAAGCTGTCAAAATATTAAATCCTGTAAAAAAAATTCAATTGGGAACAAAAAAAAAGAATTGAAATTGAGGACAAGCATTGATTCAATAAATGGAAGTTTAGTAAATGAAAATGGTGACAAGTTTTTGGTGCTTATTTGGACTTTTTTGAGCGCATTAAGTGTAGAATGGAGGACTTTTCTGTTGAGAAGAAGATGGTGTTTATGTTGGATACTTACAGGCTTTGTCTAGATCCAGCTAGATCCAGTAAAGGGGTTTGTTTCGATAACACACAGTCATATCCAACATGTGGGGTTCTAAACCCCCTTTCGACCATTCTTCACCATTTTTTTGAATAAACTCTGAATATTTTTGGATTATATACTGGATAAATGGGATATTTGGGATAGCTTCCACGCCTTGACTCTATGTCTCTATATCTTAACATACAATAATACCCCTTGGCAATAAATAAGGCACGAGATGTGCATTTAACAAAATAAAAACAAGACAAAATGAAGTCATAACTATCCATTCTCTTACAAACAATAAAATGCATCGAAAAAAAATTCTAAAGAGAAGTGAAAATACCAACAGCAAGTGCCAGTCATTACGTAGATTACGCTTCGAATTTCTAATGATTTTTCTCGTTTGTTTTTTATGGGAAAAATCACCACAGGATAGAATATCATGAGGAATAAACGATTTTAGACAAACACAAACTCACGTACGGAACAGAAAAAAAAATTCACTTGTGAGATTCTTTTCAATGAGAATGTCCACACTTCATTTCTGTACTGTTTTTCTCATCTCACTCCTAAACCGATATTTTTTTTCATCTTCTTCCTCCCGAACTCTCTCTCGCTATATCCCCACTAAAGCCGCAGATTTTTCATTTTCAGTTTTAATTGAAATTCGGAACAGCGGAGATTGTGCTTTGGGGCACAATGTGGATTTTTTCTGTCCTTTTTATTCAAATTGTTCTCGTGCATTGTCTACGGGGACGAGTTTCGATACGATCTGATAATTTGTCAGATAGCAATCAAGTGAATTGTGGTCACAATTATCAAAGTAATTGTCTTATTGAAGCCACTTTCAGCAATTCATTGTCGAATGAAACGATCGATGTTCTTGTTAATTGTACGAATGACAATGACGCTGTGATGTCCAAGAAGATGCAAAATCAATTTTCAAAAATTGAAAAAATTATATGGAACGGATGTTATGCTGTGAACAATGTGAAATTTTTTGGCTTAAGAAAAATCTCAAATCGGAAAGATGTGAAAATGTTAAAAATAGAAAAGTTTACGGTAGATACAATTGAGATTGGGACATTCGATGAGTTTACGCAATTGAGAATTTTATCATTCGAGTTCAATTTTATCGAATATTTATTATCGTCATGCTTCAGAGGACTGGAAAATTTGTTCATGTTACAAATGATTGAAAACAATTTGAAACGGATCAGTCCGGAGACATTGGGCGTTCTTACAAAATTAAATACCCTACAAATTGTCGATAGGACCTTATTTATAGCTAATCATCAATTTACTTCGAATCAAATTGTCGAGAATGTCGCAATAGATATTTATTACATTGAAATGGATCTCATGGAGCATCTTTTCAATCACGTTCAAAATTTATCAATTTTATTATCATTCAATGACGATGATCATGATAACGAATTAGTTGAATGTGATGTGCGAATGATTGGATATGAGACGAAGTGGATGATTGAAAATTTAAGACTGGACAACATAAGATGTCAATTTATTGCTGAGCATGTTGAGACACTCAAGAGTCTTGAGTTGAGAAAAATTGAAAAATTCGGAATTGAACTTAAAAATTTAATAAATCTCAAAAATTTAACAATTTCATTTTGTGACTTGAAAGAGCTGACAACAAATTTACTAGCTGGTGACTTTAATGAACTTGAATATTTAGATTTAAGTCACAACAAATTGTCAACAATCAACATGTCAATTTTCCATTCATTCACGAAATTAAAACAAATAAATTTCAACAGCAATCACATCCACACACTCGATGAACTGGACCATCCGAACATATTAAATATTCATATTCATGTCGATTATAATTCATTAGATTGTGAATGGCTTACAAGCATCTCATCACACGATATTTTCGACAATTTCATTTATGTTAGGAATTTCAAATTCATAAATGTAAATGGCCTACAATGTTCACTTCATCAGCAGCAATCAATGTCGAGGGTGGCATTATCACTTCTTTCAACACATTCGTCTGTTGCCAGCATAACGGAATTTCATGATGAAAATTTCAATGTTAAGCCGAAAATATTCGCATTTATTATATGTTGTACGTTCCTACTGGGTATTGCCATTACATTTATTCTCATCTACACGTACAACAGAATACAGTTGTTGAACCATCAGCCATTTTACCACATGTTGCGTGACTCCCTCATTCGACCGTTTTCCAGTGCACGTGATACACTCGCAAGTGATTTTAAAGGAATCATTTTTAGGAATTTACCACCGACAAATTATGAGCATCCAATTTCCACTGAAAAATTTGATGATACAGAACTGAGCGAGTTGAATGAAAATATTTATGAAGAGATACCGCATAAGCACGCATGATTTTTCCTGACTGTTCCTTGGAGCTTTTTTTTCCGGTTACTAACAAAATATTACTTCATAAAGGTATTCATTTCACGCAAATCGGAGCATCCTTGCTTTTCTCCTTTTTTTATTTGGGGTGCATGTCAATGTTTCTGACCTTTCTCAATCTTCATTTCAACCGGAGCATTAGGATAGATGAGAAAATTTGCATTCGAAAAAAAAAATTCTCAGTAATGAAAGTCAACGATATCCTCAACTGAGCTTGTGTTGCGTCAATCATGCCCCAAACATTCATCATGATTTTTTTTAACATGAAAATGAGGTCAGCTCATTTTGCAACCGTAATTGAGAATTTTTGGTGTAATTTTGCAGATAGACATGATAGATGAGTTGAGTTCTGATATTGCCTTGACATTTGCAACATTCCATCATCTTTTGCTGTATTTGATGAAGAATTTTCAAATTTGAAATTTTCTGGAGATTGAAATTTAATATCAATCGAGAATTCAAAGATTTTAGTTGAGTACAAAAATGTTTACGAATTAATCCCGGCAGCAATAGGAATGCTAGATATTTAACAGTCAACGAATGTTTCATTAATTTTTGCTTCATATAAATCTAAGCCTAGATTAAATTTCAACATTGTATCATAGAAGTTGGATGTTCCTGCATAACTAAGCTATATTAAATGTATGAAAAGCTATTTTCGGATTATTTTCCTAAATTTGATGCACAACAAAATTCAAAGAATATGCTACATCGACAACCTGCGGACGTCTAAAATGGTTCAAAAGTTTAATATTGTTACACAAAAAAAAATCTAGAAATTTCATTTTGCCAAGTGAATAAAACAAAAACTAAAACATGATGTCTATACATCCCTCAGAACTCAATTGAATAGTTGACAGATATTTAATAAACTTTTTTTTGAATAATAAAATTGATTCTAGATTGAAAATTGTTAGGTGGAAAACATGTGTTGGTTCCGAAGGTAACAAAATTTTGTCAAACAACGCATTGCCATCCTGATGCAGCTGTTCTCATACCTTTTTTAAATGTGACAGACTTTTATTATATTCGCGACACCTTTAAAGCTATTAGGAATACTAATGTGTGTCAACGAAAATAGTTTGCGCAACACTGTCTTAATGAAATCATTGCTACCATAAATAAATTGAATGTGCATGTAGGAGAATGATTGCATTTGATTCATAGTGCTTTTTAGGATAATACCTTGAATGCTGATGTCCTGTAAATAATTGAGATCATATGCTGCTTGAAAATTTCGAAAGTCAATGAAACAAAACTTTGTTCTTGTATTTTTATTTGAATAAAAGTTCAAAACATAGCTAGTCACTAAAACTGTTCCCTAATATGCCACTTAGTGAATTAATTATGATATTAATATTCCCTTCTGACGTTTTTTTCCTGCCTATTTGATTCACTCCCCAAAACAGCTCAAAATAAACGTACAAATTACAGTATTTCTATAACCATTTCATTAAAAATGTAATTCTATCCTCAAATGTCAAAAAAAAATTCTATTTTAAGTCTCCTAATATAAACATCCTAATAATTGATGACCACCTAAAAGATTCATTTACATGTAATTAATGTTTAAATATCAATATTATGACTGACACACATAAAATGAATACAACACTTTGCTATAAATAAGCTCATATCAATTATTCATATCATCATTTCATGCATTGCTTCAACGAAAAAAAAAAATGATGTGTAACATATCCGTATCCTTGTTGAAAATTTCATTGTGCTTATCCTTGAGTACAAATTTAATAACATGTTATTATCACGACGTTTTTTGATAACTTACTCAATGGTTATGGTGAGTTAACTAGTTTCCTTTTAACTTTCTATGTAATGACTTCTGGCCAAGGGTTCGAAACTGGTCAAAAATGATCAAAAATGATCAAAATGTAATTTATCATTTCAGCACCCCTGCTTCTGGTTCGATCTGAAAATTCTAATAAAAAGTTTTGATACCAAGAGGCAGAGCTCGAAGTCGATGAAATTTCGGAGTCCAATTCGGATTGCCAGGGATTTTTATTGCTTATTTCTGGCTTACCCCCCTCCCTAGCTTCCCCACCCTAGACGTCATAAGTGAACTGCCCACAATAAGAATGTGCTAGTTTTGTTTCTGTGAAGTAGAGTGGAATCTTTGGAATCGAGTCATATGGAAGTGAATCTGTAAATGAAACAGTAGGGTAGGTTCGAATCCTAAAAGAGGCCGATTTCTCAAATATTATATAGAATTGTAAATATGACAAGAATTCACAGAATTCTCAGAGGCATCTGATTATCACCTTCTATTATAAAAGCCACAAGAAACTTTATTTCCGTCACGATTCACACAAACTTCTATTTTCCATGGACTTTCGTCACTGTCAATTCAAATTGAACGAATAATAAAATGTCAGGCAATAAATCACTGAAACAAGAGACACATCAGCCAGTGACAGTCTAAAAATAAATCATAATGCGTTGAATATGTTGATAAAAAATATTTTCCATTGGTTTTATTTTTATTTCACTGAATTTTTCATCTTTTTTTTTTAATAAAAAAATAACATTGGAATATTCATATTAATTTACTATTCAAACAATGATATTGATTTCAACAAGGCAATAATATATATTTTGATGTATAAACAATAGATAGAAAGTTCTGGCTTTCTCGAATTTCATGATCTATTACAGTTTTTTGATTGTATTGTTGTCATTATTACTACTGATGTGGATATTTTTGTTACTGTTATTAATAAAGTACAATATATTAATGAAATTTACATAATAGTCTATTATATTCCTTAACAACGAATCTTATTATGACTGTTTTTGATTGTTAAATCATTTTTCCCAAGTTGTGTGTCAATAAAGTACAAAATGTAGGTAATTGGATATTTTTCATTTATCTTGATCTATTTACAGCTTTCTATTGCATATCCGAGCGACATTAAAGACAAATTTTTGAGGCTGTCATTCACCTGAGTTATGTAAAAAAAATTATGAATGACCATGCAAAATTTTCAGTTCCATTATTTTAACAAAAATTATCACTTTTATAAATTTTGGGATGTCTGAATTTTGACACTTTAGATTGAAATATTGGTAGCGGCATGTCATGCGACTAAGCTACTTAAATTGATCGCATTTTGTATCGCAAAGCGCTCGCATGGATAATCTTTGTAAGATTAATGAGCATGAAATATTTGAAATAAGATAAAATTGTTGAGTTGATTTAAAGCTTGACATGCATGATCATATGTAACCTATGACATAAAATTTTTTTAAACTATACGGAATGAGGAGTGTGACAGTCAAAAATTGGATATTGAATTAGGCTTCAAAATTAGGTTATTGAGCTTTAAAATTTGTATGGGACGGTAGAGCGCTGACACTTCTGCAGAGTATTACATCTCTTAACAAAGGACATCCTTAACATAAAATACTTTGCCCTAGACCGTATAAGACGAAAGTTCGATTGCATAACCTTAGATGCACCCATAGACGACCCTTAAATCCGACAAAAAAATCCATAGTCCCTACAAAAATGTCATTCCTCAATGTTGTCACCAAATGACTGCTTACTTGACAACTGAATCAGAAATAAATTCCATTTTCTTTTTGTTTATTTTTCCGTTCAATCGTCTGTGCTAATGACATCCCCGACAATAGTCTGTCACTCGGATAAATAATTATAATTGTAGGATTCATCTTCATTATTGGTTTAACTACTTTCTTTGTCTTTAATTACTTTAATATTGCTTTGATAATTTGATTGATTATATTTACAGGACACACAAGACGGATTAACATTAATTAATATCCCTAATATGTATATAAAATGTAATTTATGCGCACCTAATGTTTATTTTATGATAATACATTTCTTTTCTTAAGTATCTAATTAAAACTACTTATATACGTGTATTATTGACAACCGTTTATTTGTGCACAAGATTCTAAGTTTGTGCCATAAATTAATACCTTTTATATCCACTACAGCATTTCGATCGACAAAAAATATTGGTTTTAATTCAATATAATATTTACACAGTTATGAAACTAATTAACTTAGCAATAAAATACTCATTTATATTAATTGACAAGTTTAAGGGAGCATGAAAAATCTTGTAGATGTAGAACTGAACGAAAAGATTCATCATCTGTCATTTAGAAATTGACTAATTTAAGACACATTAAGTACACGATTTTAATAATTTAACAATTAATCAGCCACATGCACTAGTGGCATGAGACAATATGTAGTGGCCCCGAGCTGTTCATTTAATGATGACTTTGTCGACATTTTGATTATTAAGTGTAATAAACCATGTAATAATTGTGTAAACTGCTGTTCAGGCTGGAGGGTGTAATTGTAATTTTGTGGATGAATTTAATTGTAGCTTAGAAATGTTTGTTTGTGGAATTATCCTTGAAAGGAAATGATAATTGGAGAAATTTTGAAAGTGGTAAGAATATTAGGTCAGATATTAATGTGACTGAGGGCTAAAAACAGAGCTTGAAGTCGACTTCGAGCTCTGGTTAAAAATGAGTCAATCTTAAGCTTCAATTCATCATAAACTTCCCAAAAACCATTTCCATTCAAACTTCCCACACAGCTCGGGCTCAAATTACATGCATTTTCTCATCATTCCTACATCCTCTGACATCATGTTGATGTATACGAATGAGAAAACTTATTATGAGGAAAATTTTCATGTATGACTCGTGAATAGAATACTAAGAAGAAATTTGATTTCGTCTTAACTTGACATGATTCCGTAAGTTTATTGCCAGAAAAGAGGGAAAAAGAATTTTTTTTTGTGTTGCAACTTCGATGTGTTAGACACAGCACATCATATTACACATGTATTTTATGAATGCTTAAACAATTCACATGTCTATGGGACATAATGTGATGAGGAGAAAATTGAAAAAAGTTGGTGGAGGAGAAGGAGGAAAATAGCAAATGTGAAAATTGATATGAAATATCAATTTGATGAGTAAAATGACTGTGGTAACATACTTTTAATGTATTATTAAAAGGAAGTATTTATAACTCATATGCTGTGCGAAAAAAAACGAAGAACTTGATAATATGTGAATGATAGAGGAAGAGCTGGAACGTGTTATTATTACGCGATTCAATGACTGCATGGGAAAATAAGGAGGAAGAAATACGAGTCGCAATGGCACACACACTTTAAATTACTTTCTATTTATGTATATTTTATACAACAATCAACTATTAGCGCTGTTAGGTAATAATGGATTAAAGTCATCGTCCACTTCTTGGGTGGCATTTTTAAATTGTTTATAACTAAGTTTAACACAAGACGACTGCTCGTTTATGTCACAACCTAAATAATATTAATATTTTACTACAAAAATATGTATATAGTTGCTATGCAGCACGTATATATATTCTTAAATACTAGCAAAACTCTCTTGCACTGACCTATATAATTTCATTTTTTTTAACTCTGACTTTCTACATAATTACTATGTACAAGGTATTTCCAAACAATTTTAATTAAAATGAAATTAAAAATTTACACACAGAGGAAGAAGGAAGAACAAGTTAATGGTAACATGCCAGGGGTTGGAAGGAATCCGATGAAGGCTCAAAATTTATTTTCAATGTGAATGATTTGAAATTTTCAACTTTAAATGTTTAACAAGGATTCTGGAATTAGCAAGTCATTATTGGAACGACAGTTACATTTTCTAATGTCATTGACACTCTGATAAGCGGCTTGGTTAGCGAATAAGAAATTATGGGCTACAAGGATGTGAAAACTCACCCTCATTCACACCATAAATTCTTTCAAGCAAAAACTTGATTTAAAATTGCAATATTTTTTTTTCACAAAAATTCCTGACCAGAACCTTCTTTCTGTTTTCATTAAAAATGATTATTTTTGTATGACCTGATTTTTTATTTTTTTTATTTTTTATATCATTTCCATTGAACTCTACACCCCTGACATCATGCACAAAAAAAGTTCATTTTTGCTAAGATAAAAATTTCCTCTCTCACTTTCATTTCTTCCTATTTGGCCCACAAAACATGCATTATGCTTGGTGAACAATTGAAGATGAACACAAGCACACACTTGACGTCCATAAGAGCTTTGATGAAAAAATTTTTACTGCTACATAATCTCGAGGATTACATTATATACAAGTATAATATCATGGTGATTAAGTAGAGTAAGAAATTCTGCTCTGAACTGTGCAATTTGCAAAGATATTATCGCGATTTAGTCAAAAAGGTTATCGTTTGCATCAAGTGTGCTCAATATTCCTCAACGATTGTTAAGATAGAAGCTTAAAGCTTCGGAGCATGCAGAAGATGTGGTCGATAAAATTAGCACTGAGATAAAATTTAATATACAACAATATTTACCGAAAAAAAAGGAGAGAGAATGAAAGAAGAAGAGGAAATTAAAGATGCCAGAAAAAATTAGGAGGATTGAAGATAAAGCTGATTGCGAGCTTAACCATAAAACAATTGTTGTAAAGACTGTAATCTCATTTCTAAAGCTAGAGCCTTTAATTTAATTAATTAACAAAGAGTTCTTTATCGTTCCTTCTTCATCTTTCTACTCCATCTCTCTCCTTTTTTTATCGGGGTCATAAATGGAACTAACTTAAAAACAGTTCCTTCTACTTTAATTTTTTGGATCCTTGTTGTAGTCAACGAAAACTCTCACAACCTCGCCACTATATTTCCTCTGTGATGGCATGAAATAAAAGTCTGGTGTGTCAGTGCCATTAGAACGTTCCATCGTTTGACGATGATAATTACTACTTCCATTGGGATTATGACTGCTACGATTGCGTCTATCCTGTGTATAATAGCCAGCCATTTGACTGTGTGGTTGTATCATTGTACGCGGTAACGAATAGGATCGATCAGCATATGATGTTGGAACCGGCTGCTGTGACTGCTGCTGCTGCTGTTGAGAATGATGACGGTCACCATTTTTATTGCTGTGGATTCATTTCAGTTTGATTAGCTCGCAAAAATAATTTTTTTGGCAATTAAATTACTTACCGATGGTCACCACCATAGCGGTTTCCATTACGACTAACATCATAATACTGTGATTTGTTTGGCGAATGAGACATTTGCAGTGTAGTCTGTTGGCTTATACCATTATGCATAGTTGCTGTTGATGAACGACTATTTGCTCCGTTACGAGACTTTCCATTATGTTTTTCATCATGTTCGTTATGTGCATCAAATGCATAATTCGTATTTGATGAGTACTCTTTCCACCCTGGATTTGGTATCAGCTGTTCATGGTTGAAAAACGTGGAAGAAAAAAAAGAATTTATTAAAAATTTATCAATCCAATATTTTTTTCTGCTCTTTGTTTAATTTGCGAGCTTTTGTTTGTGGTTGAATGAAAAGCTCTTTGCAGTTTTCAAATAGAATTGTATGGAATATGAATTATATCGAATTACGGGAAAGGTTGTAACGTGATATGGATCAATAATATATTAAATTTAATTCCTTTAATTCGTATTATTGATGTTATTTATTTTTGTATGAGAATTTTTTTATATGTGCATGATGAATGGAGGATAAATGTTGATGAAAAAAAGTAATTTTTATTGATTGTTAATCAAAAATTCAGTAGTAATTTTTGTATCCTTTTGTTTGTTAAATAACCGAACCTTTGGAAATGTTTTTAAGTGGATTTGAAATTCTTTCTTTTATGTTTTAAAGGACATTAAGAGGATTTTTTTTTGGGGGGGGGGGGGGGGATGGTATCAACTTAAAATGTTATAAAAAGCCTTTAAATAATGTAGAGCCATCTAGGGTTAGAATTTCAGACTAGGGTAAAAATACTCAAGTCATAAGGGAGTCTAATGGCGTAAGTAAGATTAAAGGGTTTGAATTCAGAGTCTTTTATCAAAAACCCAGCAAATTGAAGGCATTTCTATATCAAAAGGACTACATCCCGGGATTGAAAAACCTAGTGGCAACAGTTCTAGAGAAAGACCAAAGAATATCGGATTGAATGTATTAATAAGGACGCTGAAATCTTTAATATCCCAAACTGGCTGAATTTTTCGAAAAATAGAGCTGTCTTTAAACAATCTCTGAACGTGACAATAGACCCACTTGCACCCCAGCCAAGAAAATAATAAGACACTCAAAAATTCAACCAAAAATCCACAAAACTTAATCAAAACGTTTCCAAGTCCAAGAGCAAGTAAAATAAATATTTGCATTTTGTTAAATAATTTAATTAAAACTTTTTTACATCAAACATTTCATCCATCACCATTTTTTATGTGCATTTATATACATTTTTTTAAATTCATTTTGATGACCTATAACCGCAATTGTGTGTGGCGAGATAAATAATTTCATTATTTTCTGGCTATTTATTACACCACAACAATCATCTCTTAATTTATATTCTGACCCTTTTATCCTTGTTTTTAAAAGCATGAACATTTAACATAATTTTCGTACGGGTAATTTTATTTTTTATTTTTTTGGTGTTGATAAATTTTTCCCAACATGAATATTTATGAATTCCGACATTAGTTCCTGTACATAGCCCAGTACACATATTATTCAGTCCAAAATATAATTATAAATAAGAGAGATATAATAAAAATAGTTTTAATTACCATTCAATTCATGTGTGAAATAATTCTTGACTTTTTTTGTGTCATAAATTTTTTTACTATCGAAAATGGGAATTGTTTGTCTTTTTTTTCAATTTTTTAAGCAATTGAGGATGACAAATCAAAAAAATTTTAAATCGAAAATAAAAGTTGTATGTGTGTAAATCTCGGATCGTAAATATATGGCGTGTGTGTGGCATAAATTGTGAGCGTGACGTGAAAATGATGAAAATCGATTTTATTTTATGTTGAAACTTAATTTTGGTTTGGTGCAATACTTTTCAATCTACATCCACAATAGGAATTCTAAGCATATAAGCTACAATATCTAAAGTCTAACTACAATCTATGTTTCTAAAAGTAAACTACAATTTTTTCTTCTTCTTTACTGACTCATTAATCCTTATTTATGTACAGAGCAAGGAAAATAGAAAAATATAATAATAATTTTTATAAGGAAATAGTAACATAGTATAAGCAGTGAAATATGACTAATGTTCATATGCTGCAACCTGATCAGTAATTTGGTTTTTTTTCAACTTTTTTTAAATAAAGGTAATTTTATATAATTTTAAAGTTTCAATTTTAAAAATATAGATTTTAAAGTTTGAAGTAAGTAAAGTTTTTAAAAAAAATTATTAATTATTTAAAAAAATAAAATTTCAGTTAAAAAAAGAATAACAAGATTAAAATAAGTTTTAATTTTGAAGATTTTAACAAGAAATATTGAAAAAAGTTTAATTTAAAATTTAAAACATATTTAAGTTTTTGAATTTTTTAAAAAATTAATTGAAAAAACCAAAAAATGTTGAATGGCTTATTAGATTTTTGTGAAAAAAAGTAAATTTTAACAGAAAATTAAAATTATAAATTCTGAACAATTTTTAAAAAATTATAAATGATTTAAAAATCAAACAAAAAAAATTTAAAATTTGAAATAAAAACATTTCTCAACAACAGAAAATTCTGAATTCCCAAACAATTTTTAACAATATCCAAAGCGAATATAAAGCCGCATAAATTTCCGCAAATTACACTATTAATAGCTTAATACAGCTAAGTGGAAATCCTTCCTTTCTGACTCTCAATAAAAATAAAATGTGGAAAATATTTTTCATGAGTTATGTGAGAAAATTTATATAAAAAAGAAACATAATTATGGTTTATGGATAATAATATGTTCGTGGATTTGGTTGCCTATATACCATTCCTCTTGCATCGGCAGGTATCGAATATACAAGCTAGAAATAATATACAAGTATTTTTCATTTACAATATCTTACAACATTAATCGCAAATATAGTGTTTATATAAATATAATAAAAGTAAGTATAAGTATGATATAGAGAAAATATACAGCATAGCACTAAGCTTATAAATACCAAAATCTACATTATCGACTGTATTATATTCAACGTTACTACTTTATCGACTGCAAAGCTCGAAATTTAGGGAAATAAATTTTATATCTGTATATATTTATTATTTTTAGTGTTATGTGCTTATATACTTATTTATGCGGGACTCACTTTATGGCGTTTCGACTTTTTACTAGCTTTCATAATGGTACATGTGGCTTGAATAATGGCTACAAGAACTAAAGCTGCTATACATCCGAGTACAGTGTATAATCGCACCTCAGAGAGCTTAAAGAATTCAGCAATTTTGTCGGCTGTGGATTGTTCCGTGGACACAACTACAAAGTAATAAAAATTTACAAGTTAAATTTATGTCGTACACACTTAAAATAAGAACTTACTAGCAAGTGACTCAAATTCTAAAAAGTTTGGATCAACACTTAAAGAACCGACTTTTCCGGTTGCCAAACTATCCCTAATTGCTTTCTCAATAGGTTGACCCTCATCTTTCTCGTCAACAATTTTGTTATTGCTGGCATCGAGGGAACGACCTTTCTCATACATTGCTTTATCAAATAGAACATTCATTTTTGCAATCACGTCATCGTTATTCCTATGGAAAAAAAGAAATACATAGAAGGATTGTTATCGTACAATTTAATTCTCAACATACTTTTTAAATTGGATTTCATCTAATTTTGAATAGCCCGGAATGTCACCCAATACATTATCCAATGTACTTCTAATTGTTCGAGATAAATCTTCATATTCCTGAGAGCCTTTTTGTGGTGCCTCAAAGCCATCGGCTAAATTAATTAATTTCATGGATACGGCATATGCTAAACGATTTGGTGCTGGCGTTGTGACTTCTGTATCATAAAAATTTTGATCTAGGCCACATGTTTTTATACATATACGATTATCTGTCACAATTGGAATTTGTTCATGTTTACGAATCTTTTTATTAACAGAATTAAAGGATCCTCCCTTTGTCAAGAACATCATGTATAGACAGTGTTCGTCAGTGAAGGAATGATCTTGTTTATCATCACCAGTTACACGTTTTCTAACAAATTCAAGTGTTGTGACACCATCAAGTAAGCTCCCTGTCTCATTGTAAACATTCTGTTTGTCGTCTAATAATGGTGCTGAATAGCCATTTATCCAAGTATCCATCACAAATGGACGTGCATTACGTGAATCATACCATCCTATAATTGCATCCGTTTGTGACTGAAAATAAATTAGATAAGCATGTAGGGAGGAATAAAAATTTATTTAAATTAAGGTAGTTTTTCATGTCGACGATTTAATCATGATAATGAGTATGTGGACCAGTGTTGTTGATTTTTCAGGCTTGTGATAGATTTATGTACAAGATTAGCTTGATTAAAATATTATGCCACAATTTGTTCGTTCTAGGAACAAAATCTATCTAGCGAGTCATCAAAAAACAACTCTGTCATATTTTCAGTCATGTCCACTCACCATTTGCCGATCCTCGCTGAATCCAACGCCCGTATAAGTGTTGACGTTTGTTGTTTCAATATGGAACTTGATTGCATCGCCCTTACCGGCAGTCTTCCAACTTATATAGTATTCACAATCATGCTTCTCTTGCGAACAATTTCTTGGTGTCTTCCAGTGACCATGACATTCATTTTCCAACTCATGTGGTGACACATCTGATGATACTGGTTTATCTTCATCAAAGAAATTGATTTGTGTGTAACCACGTTGTAGTTTATGTCCATGATATTTAAGTTCGTCTGGTTGATAAAATTCAGCATTGCTTGCCTGCTCCTTCTCTATTCCGGATGGTGGAAAATGAACATATTTCTCCGGTTCCTGTGTGAATGAGAATGGAAAGAATAATAAAATAAAATTTAATTTTTATCTCGAAAAAAAAAATATGTAAATTTTCATTTCAAGCTGCTTAGCTGCTTTCTATCCTTACTTGTCCTTTCGCCCATATCACATGCATTAAATCGTCGGTAATACTATGATCCGTTGGCTCACTTGCATCGAGCTTTTTACGGAATACAATTGTCGTTACTCCATCTTTTTCAAAACCACCGGTGGCCTGTAACTCCGATTTACCACCGTAGAATGTATCCATGCGTGGCGTAGAACGATCTCTGGTATAGTAATCCCAAATACGACTCATTTCACCACGAGCTGTTCCAATGACAATGTCAGTACAATCCATTGCATTAAAATCATGCTTTGGTGTGTAGTCCTTTGGTCCAGATTTGGCTGTAAGTGCTATATATGACACATGGAAATGAAAAGTCAGAGAGAACAAATAAATAAAATTTTTTAATTACAACTGAAACTTTTTGGATGCGACAGTTTGTTAAACTATCAACACTCTCTAAATGTTTTGTATTATATGATGCTTAATGAATAAAACTACTGCCAAATGTGTTTCTAATATTTATGTGTGTGTGTGTGTCTGTGTATGTTAAATCTAGTTCTCTTTTAATCATAAACTTCATTGTACTGTGCAAATTACATTTTGTGTGTTTATGGATATATAGGAGGAAATAGCAGACGGGATGAAAGATGTGATAGAAAGTAAGGGGTCCAATCCATTTGATATACTTACCCAAAAGTGGCTTTTCAGTTTTTGTTTCTTGTTCACTTGAGGGCTCTGATTTTGGTTCAGCAGTGCTTGAAGGTTCTGCAGTGCTTGAAGGTTCAGCAGTGCTTGAAGGTTCAGATTTTGGTTCAGCGGTGCTTGAAGGTTCAGATTGAGGTTCTGCTGTGCTTGATGGCTCGGATTGTGGCTCAGCAGTACTACTTGGTTCTGATTTAGGTTCACTTGTTGGCTCAGATTGTGGTTCTGCGGTACTAGCAGGCTCAGCAGTACTAGTTGGTTCTGATTGAGGTTCAGGAGTGCTTGCTGGTTCGGATTGAGGCTCTGGTGTAGCCGGTTCGGATTGTGGTTCAGGAGTGCTTGCTGGTTCACTTGCAGGTTCTGATTGTGGCTCAGCTGTAGATTCTGGTTCATTTGTTGTTTCATCTTCCAATTTTTCATCCTTATTTCCTTCTGAATTTATTTACAGGGACATAAAATTTATTAGTCAGTGCAAAACTTAAGTCTAATTGCGAGTGTATGTATAATTGTCTATATTAGCATGTGCAAATAAGGAGGATCTTATTGCTGTGCTAATTATTTTGGGGAGCAGGTGTGAAATTTCTTGTCTATATATTTAATATTGTGTATTTGTTATGTCTACTGCATGTTACAAGATATATTGTGTGTAAGTAAGTAAAAAATAAATAAAGGAAATTCAATTGAAAATTTAATTTTACCTTTTTCCGCTGCACGTCTTTTCCTTCCTGCACTGGAGCTCACACGATATGATACGCTTGTTGATACTGTGTATTCATCCTTAGATGCTGGAATTTGAGGAAGTTCGACAGATTTCTCAATAGCTTTTGTCGGTGATGCGACACGTTTCGATTTTGATGAGCCGAGCGCTAAAGGTTCTGATTTTTTGCTAATTTCTGGTTCGGTTGCTGGCTCACTTTGAGGCTCTGATACTAGCTCACTCTTTGGTTCAGATGCTGGTTCGCTCTTTGGTTCAGATGCTGGTTCGCTTTGAGGTTCAGATGCTGGTTCACTTTGTGGTTCAGATGCAGGTTCACTTTTAGGCTCTGAAGATGGTTCTGGTTCAGTTTTAGGTTCAGGTACTGATGATGGCTCACTTTTTGGTATTGGTTCTGAAGATGGCTCAGGTTCTGATGTTGGTTCGGGTTCTGATGATGGCTCAGCTGCTGGATCACTAATAACTGGGAATTTTCTACATTCTGCTGTCAATTTCTTTGGTCTCCATCCCAAACCAACCCATGATGTTCCATTGACTTGCAAAACCATTTCAATTTCCTTCTCTTCTTTCAATATCCTCCAATGAATTTTGTAATCTGGTGTGAGTTGTTTCGTTGTGTACAATGAATAATCAATATCTGTCGACTTGATTGCTGACTCTGTAGATGGAAAATATAAGAAAATACTGAAAAAAGGTCAAAAAATAAATTGAAACTTCAATTATCTTACTTTTATTACATCCCGGACCAAACCATCCTAATTTACAATAGCATTGTTTCCTTGGCAATGCAGTTCCTCCAACATCAATACATTTTCCTTGTACACCACAATCTTTATCCGCTGTACATTCATCCCAGAACTGACATCTCGGTCCGTAATAATTTTTATCGCATTTACACTTTGTGGCAAGATATTTTCCATGACCAGAGCACGTTTCACGATATTCTTTTCGTGGTTTTATATCAATATCAGCGCACGACCAAAATCGATATGAGTTGCCCCATTCATCTGCTTGCCGTAATAGCCTCAACGTACAGTCATCACAGGTAAAATTCTCGGGTAGTCGAATTTCATGTGATTGTGCACTGGAATAAGAAATTCAACATTAAAGTCTGATTTATTGATATTTAATTTTTTTTTTGCTTAACTCACGTTGCATCGTTGCTAACAAATTCTGAGCCTTTAATTGATGGCGTCAGGTCTAATTTCGGTCGTTCTAAATGATCCAAAAGTTGAATTTTATAGCCCCCCTGTAGATGAAAATAATAAGTTAAAGATGAGATAAGATATTTTGAATGTCATTAATTATTATAGCCATAAAAGAATATATTTTTATAATCATAATGCCGATGCTGTTAAAATGGCAAACAGATTTCTCACAATTCATTGTGAAAATATTTTTTCATGCTTTATTGATTTACTCGGATATGTTTTCGTGCGAAGGAAAATTAATAAAAAAGGAAGAAGATAGTTCCGTGATGTACATGAGCTTTTGAGGTCTTCGTGATGTTATACATATTTTTTTTTTTTTTGATAATTGAACTTGAAGCTAGAATTGTTTTGGAGACAGTCTGACTTGATCTCGAATGGGGAACCAAATATCTTGATCAATTGAATTTTATGCTTGAAGAACTAAGGCTTACCCTATAAAAAAACCTTTATTTTGTTCAATGTTTAACGAATTTAAGCCTCCCCCCACTCAAATCCTCCCTTTTTATTAAACGATGAACGTCATCAATGAATGACTCATAAGGAGATAATAATGATGATGATGAAGAATAGAAGTAAAAGTGGATAAAGATTTTTTGATGAACAGCAAGAAGTATTATTAAATCAATGGAATTTGACATTGTGCGCGCAATTTTCGCTTCTTATTGAATTTTCAATTTAATGACTAAACATTTTAACCTCCTAGCGAAGACGGAGAAGAAGATGACAACAAATTTCTATTCTTCTTACCGCTTGCTGTTGAAGCTGCTTTTGTCTATTATTTTACGTTGTTGTCATCATTCCAGATAAATAATTGAAATAATATAAAGCGACTGAGAATTCGTGAGAGCGAAAAAAAAAGCAACAGCAACAATAACAACAGAAAATTCTCATAAATTTTTCAAGAATAGATACTTAATTAAAATGAACGTGTGCCAAGAGCGCAAATGAACGAAAGTATAGGAAGAAATTGGTGGGGGTTAAAAATGAAGCAATAACAAAATAAGCAGAAGAATTTGAAATGATAAAGTGGCATTTTATGCGATAAAACATTTTCATATAGTCTCGCATTCGCTCTATTGCACTGTAGCATGTGAGTTTCGAAATATTTCAATTTAAAGCGCTATTGTTTTAAATGTATGTTGAACATCCACTCGTGTGCTCAAGATGGAGATTTATGTTCTTTTAATTCCGTCAGTAAACAGCTTTTTCAAAAATTGTTCTTACACAACCCAACCCCAATGAACGTATGTAGACGTATGACTACCGCAACACACAACAAATTAAATAAAGTGCTCTGGTTGTTGTGGAATAAACGTGGTTGTGAGGAACGACACATTAAAAGAATCCTTAGTTCCTTTTCAATTTTCACACACGTAAACATTTTAAAATCAATTAATTATCATTTGCTCTAATTTCGAGTGTTTATGCAGTCTTCACGGGGTCATGCATTGTTCGTTTCCCTGGAGTTTATGCTTTTCAACCTGGACAGTTTGATTTAAAACTTTGCATTCTAAGTTATCGATTGCGGAAGCAGATGAATTAATAGTCGACGATTGCTATAAATTTTGAGAACTTTTGAGGATGCTTGAAGCTTTGAGATTATTTTTAAACTATCAATATACTAAATGTTAACTGCTCATTTAAGAATGGCTGGAGATTGACTAAATGAGCTTCTTAAATAGGAGCTGCATGTCTTCTTTCAGGAAATATTTCAATAAACTTTAAATATTGTTGACTATTGCTTGTGAGAGATGAAGGAGGTCTTTAGGGACTTAAGATTTCGTAGAATTTGAACTTGCTTCCTTAATAAAAATGATAAATGATATTAGCTCGGATATAGCGACTTTACTCTTTGCGTACTATGTATAAATTGGCTTTATCATGAAACTATCCAATTTTTCTCAAAATGCAAGCAACTATAACTTAAAACCGATTTTCATGCATATCCTCAATCATAAACAATACACTAAAAACATCAAAACTTCCGACAGCATTTGTGTAAACCCAGTTAATCTCATGTCATGTCCATAAAATGCGCCCAAGCCATCACCTCATACCACAAAAGCCATAACTTTTGCATTAGCTGTTCATCTCATAGCACGTTGAATGAAAGGAATCTCTAATTTAGCGCAAAAACTTCATTCCATCTGAATTGCGATTTGATGATGAGAGCAGCGCAAACGAGGAAAAAACAATGACAGCAGAAAATGTAAAAAGTTGGTTGACTTTTTTTTTTGTCTTTCAGCTAGGAAATAAAGGATCTTTCATCATATGGAATGAGATGAAAAAATTTTATAGAAAAGGATGGCATTTTTGTGGGTTAATTAATTTCTTACAATTGTGCACGGTAGCTGACATTCATCGTTTTACAATTCATTGTCTCATCCCTCATTGTTGTCGACGACAAGAATTGAAAAATCATTTCTTTTAGTTTAACGTTGTATGTTTCATCCGTTTCCCTTGAACTTCCAGTTATCAGTGGCACAACTGTGATACCAAGGAACCTTTCATTACAACAAATGACTTTGCCATTTTCTTCCTTTTTATCTAGAAATATCTCCTACTTTTCTTATATTGCTTCCTCTCCATTCATTCATCACCTTCAATTCATCTCAGTTATGTAATTGAAGGGAAATAATGGAAAACAAAAGGAAAATGAATGCACATTGTTTTCATTTCACAACAGAGTCCTACATACATGTACATTTAGTTTTGTTTACTGTCAGGAGAGAAAGAAAGAAAAACTCTCGACGAAGATAATAAAAGAAACTTTTGAGTGGCACTCGTTGCATTGGCTTGCATCACCTACATTTTCTATGCTGCAAAAATAACTTATTTTAATGAAAATTGAAAAAAAAAATACTCTGTTGGCAAGCATCGGACGAGGAGAGAAGTCATGGATATGAAAAGTTTTATGGTTTTGGAAACAAAGTTGTAATACTAAGTAATACCCACTTTTACGGTCGAGCTTTTTTTTCATGAAAATAATGCTTGAAATCGGGTTTGTAGAGTATTTGTTGGTGTCGGATTATGTTAAAGGATCGAATTTAGAAGTTTATATTGTTGAAATGTATTTAGTGTTTATGCTTTTAGGTAAAATGATGTGGAATTTTGTATTAAATGGCCTTGAACTTTTGTGTTTGTTTAGAGATTTATGGATTCTGATGTATTAATGTCGAAAATTAAAATCTAGTTTTTTGCTTCCCAGTTTCATAGCTAGAAGCATATTTAAGTGATTTTAAATGATTATTTGAATAATAATCTTTCAAAAGTTCAGGCTTTGATCCTGATAAGTTTAAAAGCTGGGTCATAACTGTGACATATCCGAGTGGAACATTTGACATGATGTCTAGTTGATTACTAGACTTAGGAACGACTAATGACAATTTTTTCTCTTTTAGCTTCTATGATGCATTAACTTTAGACTTTGATTCACTGACGTTAGATAATTTTGGTATGTTTCATAACCTTGTTTTTGCCTACGTTTATGAACATGCAACCTAAATGATTCCCTTCCCATGAGCCACAATTCACAACCATCCAAAGCCTGATAATTTTCCTTCGTCAACTTTTTTTCATTCTTTAAATTTTTCTTTCATACTGAAAAAAATAATATTTTTCCAGTTTCAGCATTATCATCGTTATCGAACAATAAGCGACATGATTTTCTTTACTTCTCCTGTCTTTTCAGTTCCATTCAACAGAAATCATTGCATTGTTTTCAACATTTTTTTTTTCCTTTTTCCTCTGCATTATGAGTAAAAATATAAAAGAATTGAACATCTTTATTCATTATCGCAGTGGAACTGGCAAAAAGAATGAAGAACGAACACAAAAAAAAAATGTGTCAAGAAGCGCTAAATTAAGAAATGTTATTTCAATTGCGAATTGCGATAATTGAGTGGAATTTAAGGAATGTGTCATAAAATTTTACGGTACTCCTGTTTCCAACATGATAAGGAATGCTTTCTTATTTCCTATTTCAGGTGAGAGCGAAGATTTTCATTTCTCAAAAATTAATAGAATGAAAATTGTGAACGAAAAAGCTCGTAAATGCGCGTCGTACAGAAAGGAAGAAAATGAATACTTAATATTCATGTTATGATATTAAAACATTTTCACGGAAATTCCATCACATCAATTTGCTTTAATTATACCTATTTTTTTTATATTGCGTTTTAAAGCTGGTTTTCATCCTGTCTTTTTGTGTGCGTAACTTTTTTTATTCACGCGCTCTCACAAAATTGAGTAATTGTGGAATTGCGATGTAGATACAGTCATATCAAGTGCCAGTGTCTCTCATGCTGAATGAAAAGTAGACATTTTATGGTTTAAGTACTTAATTTAAAATGTCACAATCTCTTCTTGATGTATTTTAATTGCATGATTTATTTTTGTAGCTTCTAATGCAATCTGTATTAAGCCATAAATCCCGGGAAGTGAAAATAATTTTGCTGTGAGATTTGATGTTGTTTTGGAGGATGTTTTAGACTTCGTGGTAGCAAGTTTATAATTTAGGTTGGAATTCCATTTAATCTCGCTTGTTTTGCCTTAATTAACAAAATTCTTTCGTATTTTTAAAGATTTTTAATGAGATTTATTTAACTTTAGATGCTTATTAGAGCTTTGCATTGCTATTTCAGCTTTAAGAGACAGTTTGAAGTGATTCGTTGAAAATAAAATTATTTTGAAATTTTTAAGCAGCATAATCTGTGTTTTTTGACTTGATTTGATCAAATTAAGTGAGATTTTGAAGCTTTTGAAACCAAGACCCTCATCCCTCTGGTTACTTAACTGAATGTGTACATCAAGAAACATTGCCAGAAGTTTGAAGGTTAAAACATCTTCTCCCGAATGGCACAAATCGATTAATCAATCAGAAATCTGGCATCAAGCCAGTGAGACTGTGGCATAGTGCTAGATCTAAATCGAAGCCAGCACGATACCCGAGTTATTTCAGTTTGGCGCTAGATTCTATTCGATTAACCGACTTGTGCTTTTTGGGTCTCGACGAGAAATATTCTAAGATTTGTTTATAAAATCTTAAAAAAATCATATTTAAAATCACAATTAATAAATAATTCAATAATCTACTATAAAACCATCTACAACTCGGCATACACCTCAAACATAATAACTTAAATCTACCTCAATTGCACATAAAATGATGAAAAAAAATCCAATTTCCTTCTTAAAATAGCTTATTAATCAATTTTGATTGCTTCCATATCTCAAATAATAATATGTGATACATATAAATGCTTGTTAATCTTAATGAGATTAAATTTTATTTTAATTACGCCGACAATTGCATTACAGTCATCACTATGCCTATCCATCGAGAAATAAGCTCTTAATTAACATGTAAAATTAAAAGATATATCATAAAAATTAAAAATCGAGCCTATAATTACAAAATATATGCATGCGAATGAAAAAGTTTTGATGCATTAATGATACTGAGTTGGGAACGTGAAAGCCTTCGAAAGTGGTCATTGGGCGTAGCTTTTTCTATGAGTTGGCACTTAAAATTTTTCGATGAGACAAAAAAGAGACCCTGATTTTAACAACTCTAATACAATTAATAGAATTTATGTCAAAAATTTTAGCATCTCCAACCCTGTAAATTAAAAGTAGCTAACCGCCCACCATACTTCTGTGTCATTTTGAATTAAAATTCGTTTTAATTACTTTCATCATATTAAAGGACATAATGTTTATTACCTCTTAATCATATCATTTCATTTATGTGTAATTTAAAGCATCTACGATTCTAGAATTCTTAATAAAGTCATTTGGTACAGTTCCTTCGATGCCTTCCTCTCAATAATATACAATTATATTCGCAATAATGTGCATTTAATTAAAGTGTCATGCGTATGTATGCTCCATCAAGGCTGAATCATATTATATTATGCAAATTGTCATAATTAACATTATGAATAATATCTGCATACAAATTAGTAGTTTTTTTTCAATTATTTTATACAACAAATTAAAATATTTTTATTCTACATTCTTAATTTCAATTGCACATGAACCAATAACAATAAGCATTATCATAAGCAGTCGCTGTCGAAAAGCAAAACCGAAACAGTAATAATAAGAAGAACGACCGACAAAAAAAAAGTTTTAAGCGTCAGCATTTAAATCCAATTGCTATAAAAATTTAATCAACTCAACTTAGTCTTCGCTTTATTTCTATTTGCGATTTCTATCTTTTTGACAATCATGAATTACAATTTATGAACATCTATATAAATACTACTTGAAAAGCGAGAGGAATAAAAAGTTGAGTGTTTATGGAATAGTGGGGGAGAGCAGGGGTTTAATATATGATTTATTGGGGTACAGATGTGACGTCTTGAATGTCTAAAGATCTTTTGAAAGGATTTATGCGTTATTCTGGGATTTTTAGGGATTTTGGTTCATATCTTGTCTTGATTGTCTATACAGTTTTTTCAATAAATCCGTCCCTTGCCCCAAAACGCTTGACACTAAGAAATCAAGAAGACCTCTGTTGACAAACCTCAAAATCACCCATTATCCAAAAATATACATGCAGCTTAAAGCATTATCATCATTTCATCATCTCCTTAATTTCAATAATCATCTTAAAATACCAAAAAATTGATTCAAATGTGCTCTGAAGCGTGAAATATGAACGCAAAAAATTTGCATAATTCTCTTTTGTCTTGCTCTAAAAATACCACCCAGTTTGTTGCTTTCATCTTCAAATGTTTGGCTGTTTTGAAATCAATATTAAAATTCAAATGCCACAAGCTTAAAATGCACCATCTACATCGTCAAAATTTCACGATCATCTTTATCAAAATGTTTGCCTAAAAACATAGCATAATGCTTAACTTTGGCTACAAACTTCAATATATTTTCTTATTGCTTAAAGAGTCTGTTCCATTAATGTAAAGGTAGTAGCATCAATTCCCACGGTACTCAAAGAAGCTCATGTACATCATTTAACTACCGAACCCCTTTGCAAGCAAGATTGAAGAAAATTTTTCAAAAAACAAACTTTTACTTACTCGATGTGGATAAGCAAGATGCCAAGTCACATTGAATGTAGATCCAGAGAGAAATGATGTTCTTAAAGTGCCTAAAATAAAGAAGACATAAAAAGTTATTACAATATTTCTTTCAGAAAAAGAGAGGAAAAGAAGCTACGTATGTATGATAAGGGTTTATGTGTCAGTAAGTATAAGCAAGATAGTTAATGTATGACTAGATACATATAGACAATTATATAAAGTTAGAGTCAAGAAAACAAAGCTTTTGTTGTTATTTTTATGATTGCATCATCAAATTGAGAGTTATTGAATTGCGAATTTTTAGGGTTGGGTGTCCTTAGTTCACTGTTGCCATACCCTAGTTCACTGTTCTTAGTTCACTATTGCCTTACCCTTGTTCAATATAAAACATGTTGGTTTTCTGAATTGAATCATAATTAACATGATGCGATCACAGTTTTGATAGATTCTAGCTAATTAGAGTCTAGAACTTAATGAACAGGAGAGTCTGCAGCAATGTAGCAAAAATATTAAGCTAATGCAATAGCTTACCAAGAATTTTTGTCGTCTAGCAATTTTATATCTAAGACTTAAGTCACCCTTCTTCCCTATAATGTCATTGAACTTAATAAATATCTTCCACAGAAGCTTACTAGCTACCTGGCGCAACACAGTGATAAAAGAATAACAGTTTAACGTGCGGAGAGAGAAATTGTACAAAATGGGCGAAAAAAGCCAGCAATAGAATCAGATGGAAAGCCTTTTGTTGTAACCTAAGCTCTACATAAGAGCATGGCTACAGTAAGTAAGTACAGAAGCTTACTTAGAATACTGTTCAAGCCCTCCACAGAAACATAACTAGAAACTTGTCTGTCCTGGTTAATTATATGACCTTCCAATGGGCATTCGTGAAAATATAGAGACCAACGAAAGAAATCCTACAAAGTTTTCCACAAGGAAAAATCAAACTATGAAGAGCAAAAAAAAAATCAATTTCACTATCAACAACTTTTCTCAACAACGCTTTTCTTAGAAAAAAAGAAAATCCAACTAAGAAATTTTTCCCCTTCAACTACTTTTCGTTCTCATAAAAAATAGTTTCAGTTTGCCTTTAAAATTTTATTCATTCAGCACTTCAAGCGAACCAGGATGTCGCGGTTATTTATTGAATACTATCGATAAATTAATTTAGAAATAAAAATAAAAAAAAAATTATTCAATAGTTCCACTGTAATTGTGTTTGTTTCCATAACTTTTTTTGCGCTAGCTTTGACGCTGAATATTTTATTTAAAAATTAAATTTGAAAAAATGGCATCAATTTCCGGCACTGTGCAATGATAAAAATATTTTTTATTATATTTAAATCCTCAATTTCTTTAATTGACCCATTGGGTGTAGATGTGCGGATATAAATTGTCTCTTCCTCACCTATGGGCACAATCATCATCAACAACATCTATTTTTATAGTCGTTGTCGTTGTCTATGAGCATGCTTAAAATGATTTTATTGTGTTAAGAGGAAATTGTTGGAAAAATGTCAAGTCTTGACCCGAAGGCAGGCAACAACATCACTTTCCATATCCACTCTATAAATTTTAAAATTATTTTATTCTCTACGAACCGCAAAGAGCAAGCAATGAACGATCTTGTGTCTCTAGTACTATTATTGTCTTATGAAAGAAGCACATCGTGCGGTATATGATGAGCATATATACATGCTTTATTGGATATTGCTCAATCAGATGTTTCTTATGGGAAAATAATTTCTTGCACTTTCACTTGGTCTTGAAATGAAAAACCAGATAGAGATATGCATTGCTTTCAGGCATACTACAGCTACTCATTGAACATTGAACATGTGAATATGTAATATCGTCTGACAAGTAGTAACATCGACTATAAATAAGAAGAGGTAAAGAAATAAGAAGATGAAATTTCTTCGTGCCTGCCTGCCTGTTTTGCCTCATGGCACATAACTCAAATTGTCTTTAATACTTCTTGATTATGTCATGATAGTTTTTCTACTCTTCTTGCTTTTTTCCCATATTCAATTCATGATCAATATTTTTTAATTCTCTGTGTACATAGGATGGATGCGAGATCATTTCGAAATGAAGACAGCAAAAAATGCAATGAAGAAAAAATTATCTTTTAACATTAGTAAGTACGTTGATTGCTTTTACTAGCTAGAGACTTTGAAAGATTATTTTATAATAGGATGGATTCTAATGTTTAAAGCTGCTGTATGTCTTTGCTGTTGTCTCAAATGAGATAGACAATATCAAAAACTGGATGGACTCAAGAAACTTCCTAGGTCCTCACATAAATGAGAGAATTGATTTTTAATAAAGTTAATGTCAATTCTGTGAGAGCTAGATCAGGTTCATCTAAGACAGTGTTGCCCAAACTGTGTGCCGCGGCACACTGGTGTACCGTAGAAATTATTTGTAAATGACGCGAGCCACATGCTGTGTACGACTTTGGTAATGGCTTACCCTTAAGGTGTGCCGTGACTCAAAAAAGTTTGGATAACACTGATCTAAGATATACAATGAATCAAAATGCATCAGCTTATAAAACTAGAGGCAGCTAGCAATTTTGATAGGCTCTAATCTTCTAAGATGGTCTGGACTTATTTAACCAACAAATTTAATGTATGTTGGTCAACTGGCATCCAAATAAGGAAGTAAGTAGGAACCCTGGTAGGAACAAAATTAAAGCATACCTAAAATTCCAGAAAGCTTCAATGCTATCCACAAATGTGCATTGTAGTCCACCAAACCAATAAATATTATCAAAGCAAATTTCCAACGAAATAAATAAGAAAGAAAGTGAGCAGGAGGCGAAAAAGAAGCAATGGAGAAGGAAGATACCATTTATTTATTTATTGTTGAAATGCAGACATTAAACATGTGTTTAAGATAGCATGAAAAATCATTCGCCAATATGGATAGTAAGCAAGAAAGAAAATTGCTTATAAGAAAATTTATTACATCACAGCCAGTGGATGAGAGCGAAAGCACGAGGAGCAAGAAGAAGACGACTAGGAAAAAATTATTTTACTTTTTCGTTATCAGCATTTAATATGTAAGAAGCATGCACACGAGGAAGAATCCTCAAATATGGCAAAAAAAATTTTCACTTTAAGCTTTATTGCCTTAATGAGTTTCAAATACGAAAATGATATAATTTACAATCATCTCGAATATATAGTTACGGAAAATAAAATAAGATATTTTCAATGTTTTCCCTTATATGTATGAGAAGTTGAAAGTATGTTAGCTCGAGGGAAAGCAATTCATGTAGTAAATTGATAATGATAGCGAGCGACAATAAAATTTATCGAATTAATTCGTTTCCTTTTTCTTTTAGCATCTCAATCTATGGTGAATTTGGTTCCCATAGAAAAAGTTCGTGTAGCTTTAAGGGAGATATGTGATGTTAATTTGTTTGGTATGCACGGAATTGGATGTTGTTGGAATTTGCTTTAGTTTTTGAGTTTCTAATGGAAAATTCGATTATGATGCCTGCCTTTGTGGATATTAAAGTCTGAATTGCAATCTTGAAGTTTAAACTTGCTATAACTTTGAGTTCTAAGCTCCTTTATTATCAAACAATCTGAAATCTATCCAAACCTTATCAAAATCATTCAAAAGTCAGCACAAAGGATCCCACACCACACACACACACACATGTAGTTAGCTACAATATTATACAGTCAAGAAGAAAACTTTTTATTCCACCATCTCGAGTGAGAAATTTATATCATCTCAAGCGGTGGTGGAAGCGATCAGAACAAAACGAAATCACTGTGTTAATTTCTATTATTCAAGCGACGAATTCTTCTTGTTCCTCCCTCGAATAAAAGCGAGATTTATTGCTTTGCGTTGATTGCCAATAAATTTTATTGGTTTCTCGGAATGGAAATGATTTTGTTATTGAAATGGAGCGAGATTCTGTCATCGACATCCTAAGATATTCAAATGAAAGTGGATATGAAACTTTTGCTGCAGAATACTGTGACCTTCTCCATGATTTATTTTGCAGTTTTTAATAAATTCTCACACGAAATTTGCATCTTACAAACTATGCAATGTAAATGAGAATTTAAGTAACGTCGAGATCTCATTAAAATTCCTCTGTAGTTCCTATAAACATTTGCCTGATCTACATCTCATATGCCATGCATTTTTCGTTCGCAACTTCACGAATGTTTAATTAATAAAATGTTTATGCACATAACTTTAAAGTTACAATGTTGCAAGATGATTTTTTTTTCAATCCCATCTCGTTCATTCTTCCTTATGTCTTTTAACGACAACGTAGGAGAAAGGCAACGACAGTGGAAGAAGCATAAGTACTAGCATTAAAATCAAGCAATTCACATTGAGCGTTGTGCTTAATGCAATTTAATGTACACAATTTAATGTTATGCTTAATGAATAAAAACTGAAATAATGTTGAGTTAGCTATGGGGTCAGTCACTAATGACGTACATACATCTTTGATTTTTCGGAAGTTTAATACAATTTTCAATAAAAATTTTTGAAAAAATAATGAGCGTTTTTAAAAATCACGTTTATTGTTAGACATCATTTATGAACGACCCCTATGTTAATAGTAAAGAATTTATTTATGTATAGTTTTTTTGATTCCTTGTTGAAGAAAGGAATTCAGCACCAGAAATGAACTAAATTAATGCAAATTAGCTTGAACAAATGAAAATAAATTTTTTTTTCTCGGGGCGGTAAAAGAATTAAGAATTAGAGTCGACCTTGAATTGACATGGAATGTTTTTGTTTATAAACTTGAATTCATTTTGGTTTGTGTGGTTGAAGAGATGTAGGAACAAGATGAGGACAAATGCAAGATCATCCTCTAGAGGAATTAAATGTTTATTATGTGGTTTTCCAAAAATCTCTTAAGAAAAAATCCAGTTTTCTTAAAAGTTTCATTGCAACAAGAATGTGGCTGACCCTTAATACATCTATGCTGTACATTCAGTCACACAACCAACACACGACAAAAATTCCAACTCATACAAAACTTGGGGTATTTACATATATTATAATTTCGCTCGTGTTTGAC